GGGGGTCAAGTTTTCAAGGCTCTATCCCTTTCGTTTCGCTCGTTCCTTTCGGAGACGGACGGTAAATTCGGAGTTCCTGCATTGTAAAATTGTGTTATGTGATGTCAGTGTAACCTGTGAATTGTTTTTCGTGCGCATGGTTTTGATATTGCATGTCAATTTATGTTAACGTAGCCTCTTAATTGTTTATATCTGTGGTAATTGATGCTAATGTAAACTCCTAATTGTTTACGTGTGTGCATTGTTCATGTTACCGTAACCCAAATTTTCCAACACAAGAACATTTTTAAAAGTTGGTGGGTGCCGTGATGAGGTTTGCTCATTCTTTCCTATCATACTGTCTACCTCATTGTGGTGCAAGTGCTGTAAAACTTTAATTAAAACTAAACTTCCTTTTGTGTTTGATATTATAACACTTTCAATCTTGGGCACTTATATTAACTCATTGTGTTGCAAATGCCGTAAAACTCTTACTAAAACGTTTTTAACTTGTTTTGTTTTGTTTCTACTAAACGCCAGATTCAGCTGTGGGTGGAGATGATCCAAGTCGAGATGGCAGGTAGGTTCCCAGGACGGTGGACGGGGCCGCCACACACTTCATGTTGTTGTACCTGGATTAAACTACGTCGCGCTCATTCGATGATTGCCCATGTCGTAAATTGTTGGCGTTTTAGGAAAGATAACAAAAGCTGTTGCATTTACAAAACAGTCACGACACATAGATTTTTAAGAACTTTGAAAAAAATAATTCAAAATTTAAAACAACTTTTGATAGAAATCTGGAGACGTAGCCTAATCAAAACGAATTATCTAGATGTGGCCATAGCTTAGTTTGCCTCAAAAATGACGTAGGCAATTATTGAATGAGCGTAATGAAGTCTGAATATAGTTTTGCCAGACAAGACGAATGTATTAGGAGGGAAGGGTGGGGACAGGATGGGGTTTCGTTTTTGCTTAGACTTAGTCTGTTGATTTTGATTGATTTTCTTTCAGAGGGACTATAGTATTGATTTTGTTTTCATGTTGTTCTATGTTTGTATGTGTGTGCCCGCGCGTGTGCGTGCGTGTGTGTGTGTGGGGG